ATCTGAACCCAAATCCACCCCGACCCCTCTCCCAAGGCTACAGAAAACTCCTTGAGCTGATTCTGAAGATGAAGCAAATAAGAGTGTGACTCAGAATGGAAGCTTCTGGTCATCACAGAGGTCATGAGATCAGCCTTAAATCTGTTTCAATTGAATTCCACATTTTCCCCCCTTACACCTCAATGCTAGACACTGAGTTAAGGATTAGGGCAACAGAGAGAATACAGACAGTCTATATATCTTTTTTAATCTTTATTATTTTTTTGTGTGTGTATCATCAAATCAGATATGACTGGTATAAGAGGTGATTGCCCCTCCTTTTCCAGCAGAGCATCTGGTGGATCCGAACTGTGTACCTCTAGGATTGCAGTGCAGATTTTTGCCACTAAGCCACCAGAGCTCCCTTGATAGTCTATATTTTTAGGGAGGATATATTCACTTGTCTCAAAGAACAAGTTATGTTATCTCACTCCCTGATCTGACTCACAGGCTAGAAGGAGGTTCTAGGTAATAAAAAAAGGCTATGGTGATATAGTGAACTCAGTTTTGAGAATCCAAACCACAAATGTTTCAGTGGACTATGGAGAGAGTTAGAACAAAGTCTCACTGAAACTAATGCTGATTCACAGCAAGGCTTTAAATGATTGCTCAACAGACCAATCAGACGAGCCCCTAAATGGACCACTTCCAGTAGTGACAGCTTGCCAAAGCCCAGCAGGGAACATCCCAAGGCTACTGTACAAGTCTCACTCACCAAATCACTGACAAGCGGTAAAGGCTTCTTTCTGCGTAGATCTGGCATGCTGTCAATGCCATACAGACCTCCAGCTGGCCTAAGGAGAGAGGAAAATATGTCAGGATCTCTGGCCCTGTGTTTGAGTGTCTTCTACGTTCACTGTTCCATTTTTCTTGATACTTCCCTTGCCTGGATAAGATGAACTGACCTCTGCCATGCGCCTTTGAGGATAAGGAAGACAGAAAATAAGACCGGGATGAAAAGCAATAAAACTTGATCTCAGAGTGCCTCCCCCTGCCACCACATCGACTGTTTCTATGGTTTTAGCCAAGGTTTAAGAGTTCTTTTATCCCGCAGTGACAGCTGAAGGTATTTCTGTTTGTTTGAAGGTCTTTGTGCTCCATAAAGAGCCTGGATAGTGCAATCAGTTTCCAGTCTATAACGTCAGTAGTTTGAACCTACCCAGTAGC